TCGAACAGAACTCCTCCTGGTCTGCATTAGGTAACTTTTCCATCACGATGAAGGTCATATCCACAGTTTTACGGTCTGAATACCAGTTGTTCTGTTGGATTTTACGAGCAACTGTTTGTAATACAATTAGCACTTCTGGCCCAGTTTGAGAGTTCATTACTTAGAATGGAAAATAGAGCTTCAAAATGGAATCTCTTATGTCTAGCAATTTTGTACAGGGGCACCTGGGTGTCTCAGATGGTTAAGTGTCCAACTTCGGCTCAGGTCGTGATCTCACAGTTTGTGAGTTCAAGTCCCACACTGGGCTCTCTGCTGTCAGCACAGAGCCCGTTCCAGATCCTCGGTCTCCCTCTCTCTTTGTCCCTTCCCCACTTGCTCTCTTTGTGTGTGTGTCTCTCTCTCTCAAAATAAATGAACTTAGGGGCCCCTGGTGGCTCAGTCAGTTGAGCATCCAACTTCGGCTCAGGTCATGATCTCGCGGTCCATGAGTTTGAGCCCCCCATCCGGCTCTGTGCTGACAGCTCAGAGCCTGGAGCCTACTTCGGATTCTGTGTCTCCCTCTCTCTCTGCCCCCACTCATGCTCTGTGTGTCTCTCTCAAAAATAAATAAATGTTAAAAAAATTTTTTTTAAATAAATGAACTTTAAAAAAATTACACAGTTCCACAAAGGCATGATTAAATCATCGTCCTTTGGTGATTAGTTCAATCTCCAGCCCTCTCCTCTCCAGAAGTTGAGGGGTGGGGTGGAAGGTTCCAATTCTCTAATCCTGTGGTTTTTTTCTCTAGAAACCAGCCCCATTCTCCTCCTCCAAGAGCCACCTCATTAGCATAAACTCAGGTATGGTGGAAAGGAGCTTATTATGAATAACAAGACACTCCTCTCCCCATCTCTCAGGAAATTACTAGGGTTTTTGGAGCTCTGTGCCAAGAACTGGAGACACACCAAACATATATTTCTTCTTATATCACACCTCCTCTTCCCTATTAAATGTAATCCTCTCTAAAGATATCCAGATATAGGGGTGCTGACGGCACAGAGCCTGATTGGGATTCTCTCTCTCTCTCAATAAATAAATAAGCATTAAAAAAACTGAGATATATTTTTACACTTTCCCATCTCTCACTCAATCCTCATCCCCACTGCTCCTGAGAACACCACCCACTGGCAGCGACCCTCCTGCAAGCACACCGTGTGACCTTCTGGCTAAGTCTTATGCCAACCCTCTGTGAGGAACATCTTTCTTGAAAATCCATCTTTCTTGAAAATCACTCTGTCCTTCTCTAGTTTTGTGGCCTTATATTTTCGCTCAAATCTGTTTCTCTCCTTTGTACCCATATCAACCCTGTTCAGTCGGTGAAACACTTCAGGTATCATATAAATCCATGCCTGTCTCACAAAAATGACTCCTCCTTTAAAAAAATTTTTTTTAATGTTTATTTATTTTCGAGAGACAGAGAGACAGAGTATGAGTGGGGGAGGGGCAGAAAGTGAGGGAGACACAGAATCCAAAGCACAGAGCCCAATGCGGGGCTCAAACTCACGAACCACAAGATCATGACGTGAGCCGAAGTCAGATGCTTAAACTGAGCCATCCAGGTGCCCCTAAAATGACTCTTCCTTAATGAAGGTTTTCATCATTGTTCCCTGAAAGTGTTTTTATATTATCCATAACTGTTCCTTTTGTCTCCAACTTGACTTCCTCTAACCCACCATCCTACTTCTTAAGAGCTGTCTTTTTTAGGGCAAATCTTATCATAGCTCTGCTGTACTAAACACAAAAGTCTTTGTGATAATTGCCTTACTACTATGATGAGTTTCCTAGTGATAGAGTAGGCAGTTAGTGATACTGGAGCAGGAAACAGGACTTTCTCACCAGTACAAAGATAAAAATCAAGAAACCACCAATCATCCCCAGAACACAAACAGCTAGAAAAAGACCCCAGGGGATATGCGCATTATCCCCTATAACCACTGCACTACAGTAACCTATAGCTTCGTTGTAATACATTTATATTGCGGTTGATCCTCCTCATGGAGGATAGGTGGCATGACAGTTCCCATAAGGACCTCATAGGGCCAAAAACTCCCTCTCTGGACTGGCAGGAGGAGTCCCTTAGAGGATCAGAAATAGCTCAGACTCAGTCAGAGGCCTCCCTAACTATGACCCATAACCTATGCAAACAAAAACAAAAAACAAAAAAACCCCTAATTCTGGTGCAATTGTGACCTCTGGGCCTGCTTCCTCTCCCATTCTGAGAGTGTACTTTCCCCTTAACTGCTATTAAACTCTTGCCTACTTGAGATTTTGGCTCTGAATTCTTTCTTGGCCAAATTCAGAAACTGAGGTTGGTGGTGAGTCAGGGAAGAGACCTGCTGTTGACATCAGCTGTTGACATTAGTTGACACGCCACGTATATACATATCCAATAACTACACACCATATGCTCAGCTTGTTCCAGAAACTGAGCTAGATCCTGGTTATAAGGCAGAAATGGTCCCTGGTCCAACAGTGTGACAGACCAGTGGCTGGAAAGACTGATCAAGTGCCAATAAACTAGTATCCAGAATATATAAAGAACTCTTGCAACTCAATAATAAAGAGACAAATAAGCCAATTTTTAAAAAATAGGCAAAGTAACTGAATAGACATTTCTCCAAAGATGATAAACGAATGGCTAATAAGTACATGAAAAGATGCTCAACATCATCGGTCAGTAGAGAAATATTCATCAAAACCACAATGAGATACCACTTTGTACCCACTATGATGGCTATAATAAAAAAGGGAGAAAATAACAAGGGTCGACAAGAATGTGAAAAACTTGGAATCCTCATACACTGTCACTGGAAATATAAAATGGTTCGGCTTCTTTGAAAAATAGTCCAGTAGTTTCTCAAAAGGTCACCATATGACCCAGGGATTCCACTCTTAGGTATATACCTGAGGGAAATAAAAACACATGGCCACACAGAAAATGTGTATAAATGTTCATATCAGCCTTGCTCATAATAGCCTAAAAGTGAAAACAATTCAGATGTCCATTGGTTGATTAATGAATAAGTAAAACATAGTATTTACATCCAATGGAATATTAAATTTAGCTATAAAGAGGAATAAAGTACTGATGCATACAATAACAGGGATAGCCCTTTAAAATACCATGCTAAGTGAAAGAAGATAGATACAAAGACTACACATGTATGATCCTATTTGTATAAAGTGTCCAGAAAGGACAGAAAGTAGATTATTGGTTGTCTGGGGTGGGGGAAGGGAGGGGGTGTGGAGGGAGGAATGAAAAGGGACTGCTGACGAGTACAGGGTTTCTTTTTGGGGTGATGAAAGTGATCTCAAACTGATTGTGGTAATGGTTGCACAACTCTGTGAATATACTAAAAACCACTGTACATTTCAAATGGGTGAATTCTGTGGTATGTAAATCATATCTTAATAAAGCTGTTACATATAAATAGAGTTGATAATATAAATATGATTGTTAGATCATTACAACATATAATTATATATAATAAAGTATTATACACATATACAGTGGACCCTTGAACAATGCAGGGTAAGGGGCACTGACCCTTACTCCCTCATACAGTCAAAATCTGTGTATAACTTTGGGCTCCCCAAAACTTTACTAATAAGCCTACTTTTGACTGGAAGCCTTACCAATAACGTAAACACTTGATTAACATATATTTTGTATGTTATATGTATTGTGTACTGTATTCTTACAATAAAGTAAGTTAGAGAAAAGAAAATGTTATTAAGAAAATCATGGAGGCGCCTGGGTGGCTCAGTTGGTTACGCCTCCGACTTCGGCTCAGGTCATGATCTCATGGTCCATGAGTTCAAGCCCTGCGTGGGGCTCTGTGCTGACAGCTCAGAGTCTGGAGCCTGCTTTGGATTCTGTGTCTCCCTCTCTCTCTGCCCCTCCCTGCTCACGCTATGTCTCTCTCTCTCTCTCAAATAAATAAGCATTTAAATTTTTTTTTTCAACGTGTTTTATTTATTTTTGGGACAGAGAGAGAAAGAGCATGAACGGGGGAGGGGCAGAGAGAGAGGGAGACACAGAATCAGAAACAGGCTCCAGGCTCCGAGCCATCAGCCCAGAGCCTGACGCGGGGCTCGAACTCACGGTCCGCGAGATCGTGACCTGGCTGAAGCCGGACGCTTAACCGACTGCGCCACCGAGGCGCCCCAATAAATAAGCATTTAAAAAAAGAAAATCATAAGGAAAAATACATTTACATTTCAATATTGTCCTTATTGAAAAAAATCCACATGTAAGTGGACCCACACAGTTCGCTTTGGGCCAAGAGTATGTAAGCTTTTGAAATTAATATAACATTGTATGTTAATTACACTTTAATTAAAAAAAAAGAAAAAATATATGGAAGCCTTAATAAAAGTCAGCAGCTTTGGAGGTATCTCAATATAACTGCTTCATGGAAATTTGTAATTTAGAGAGTGTTTTCTAAAACAACTGAGAAGGATTATGAAAGTTGTTATTTACCTATGAAAGGGCAGGGCCAGAATTAAGATCCCCATTTTACATGAGGGAGGGGGTCACAAGTTCCCTATTTCTTCACTTCTTTAGAGAGCAGTATGCATCACAGAAGAACCGGGCCCCTTCTTTTTTTTAAGTTTACTTATTCTGAGGGTGAGTGGAGAGAGAGAGAGAGAGAGAGAGAGAGAGAATCCCAAGCGGACTCCATGCTGTCAGAGCAAAGCCTGATGCATGGCTTCATCTCATGGAACTGTGTGATCATTACCTGAGCCGAAATCAAGAGTCAAATGCTTAACCAACTGAGCCACCTGGGTGCCCCAATCCCAGCCCCTTCTTAGGGATCTGATACTTCCTGTGTGCCAACCAGGGTCTCCTTCATCCTAGCTTTTCCCCCTAAGGTCAGAAGACAGAACAACTCTTCTGAATGTGTTTTTGTCTTCCAGATTTCCCTCTTCCTGCAGGTGCAGGGGCTTGCCTACAAGAGATGAAGGTGAGCTCTACTTCCGTGGTTCCCAAGAACAGGAATGGGCAGCATGCCAGTTTCCTCGATAGCCCCAGATTTTCTTCTGAGAGGTGGGGACAGAGGGGGTTGGCATGGGAATAATATACCACAATAAAATCTGGGTCATCAACCATGTGTAGCCCATTTCATATGTTCCTGAGCCCTCTTCCCATGCATTATTCCAGTCAGTTCATACTCTCTTGTGGGATAGAAGGCAAATATTTTGAACCATTAAATGGAAGAAATCACGGCTCAAATCCAGGTCTGTCCTATGCTGCAGTGGACATTTTTTCAGCTAAGATATGCCAAAATGTACATCTGCACCCCACACACTAAGGCCCCACAATGTACTCTCTCTGTCCCCTTCCTTCTATATCTTACCTCTGCTGTGGCAAGTTTGACATCACTAATGTCTGAAGCACCATATATAAGTCACTCAGTAACATTCATAAGAAAAGTCTAGCCTTGAAAGACATTTTCCTTTCTGTAATCCAACAATCACATTTGGTAGTTGATAGGGCAGGGATTTTCATCCTGATGAGTCTTTTAGCTCAGACTGGGGAGTTCACAGATCATATGTTATATTATAATTTATGTTGTATTATATTATATTATATTATATTATATTATATTATATTATATTAATTATATTATAGTTTTATTGGTTAAGTGCCAGTTATAATTTATATTAATTATATTATATTATATTATATTATATTATATTATATTATATCATATCATATCATATTATATTATATCATATTATATTATATCATATTATATTATAATATTGGTTAAGTGCCAGGGGCCAAACACTGAAGTTGCTAAAGACCCTTCTCTAAACTCCTGGTCTAGCGTTCCTTTTTCAGTCCCCCTCCCCCCATTACCAGTGATGATGGTCAGAGGACCTGGAGTAAAGCATCTGAAGCAGCAATCTGTGTCTCATCTTTAGGTTGAGTGCATGGAGAATATAAATAAATGCTGGTTTATCTCTTACATCAAACCAAGTGAACCCATATGTGGCAGTGACCAGGTTACCTACAGTGGTAAATGCCATCTCTGCTCCAAAATTCTGTAAGTCTTGATTTCTCTTCTCCCTTCTGTCTGTCAGGAGGCTAAAGGTAGACAAGATAGGAGTAACCTCCTCAGAACACTTCCTAATAGTTCGATCTTCCCTCCAGAGACTCCTCCATTTCTTCCATCCTTCCCTATGTTCCCAGAAGGGATCTCATTCACACAATGCAGAAACAGAAAGCCACTGAGGTGAGAGTGTTCTGTCTGGCCTGGCTAAGTATCAAGTGGAAAGTTCTCAGTAGCAAGTAGACACAGGATTCAGATCATGTGATCACAGATGAGGGTTACCCTCAAGCCCCCTCAGGCCAAAGAACAAATGCTGATGAAGAAGAGGAGGAGTGGGCTGGGTGTAGAATCTTCCCAGCTGATGGCTTATTGATCTTTGAATGGATATTATTCTCTCAAATAACTTTCTTTAGCTTCCAATTTTCTTTTACCTTTCATGCTTTAGCTATGTGGTTTAGTCTTTGGCCCCATCATATGTTAGAAGATTTGGGAGACAACCACATGAAACGCCCAATTCTTTGGTCTGAGAGGAATAATAGTGAGGCACCAAAGTTTTTATCAAGGAGGCTGCCTTACAGAGGTGGGAGGAGGATTTCCCAATATCTGCTTTCTCCTTTAAGGAGAAAAGCTACACCCCTGGGTAACTAAAATTTAGAGATTAAGTCCAATACTTAATAGAGAGAAAAGCAAAGACATGAGAGTAGAAAAAACTTATGTCTTTCTGTTTCCTCTTGTTTTCTTAAAAGAAGAAATAATAATCTTGGTCACAATAACAGATGTTGAGCTGGGCAGGATTAGACTTTCTTGCATGCCTTGCTGCATAAATATCAAAATTTACACTAGAACCCATAAAACACTTGGTGAGGCAAACAACTTTGGCATCAGCCTCAATCACTGGTATAGACATCTGACAATCAGAATGCACAATCTGGGGAACTTAGACCATCACAGACTCATAAGATGCTAAAACCAAGAGATACTGGAGAGACGGCTTCCAGAGAATTCACACTGACTATATTTTTCGAAATATTTTCTTAGTAGTTAAAATGGGAATTAAAAGTAATTTACTATAATCTAGTTTGGATTGATACATTAATTATGAAAGTATTTTAAAAACTTTGCTCCTATATAGCCCCATGCTTATTCACCCTTCTTTGCATATTATTATCATGCAAATTATACTTCTATACATGTATGCCCATCAACATAGATTTATTGCTTTAGTTAGTTGTCTTTTAACTCAGGAGAAAAAAGTTTACAGAGAAAAAATACATTTATACTATCTTTTCTATTTTCCTATGTAGTTACCTTTATTGGTTCTCTTTGTTTCTTCATGTGGATTTGAGTTTCTGTCTAGTGTCCTTTCACTTCAGTCTAAAGTACTGTCTTTAGTATTTTGAAGCAACAGATTCTCCCAATTTTTGTTAATCTGGCAGTGTTTTAATCTCTTCTTCCTTCCTTTCCTTCCTTCCTTCCTTCCTTCCTTCCTTCCTTCCTTCCTTCCTTCCTTCCTTCCTCCCTTCCTCCCTTCCTCCCTCCCTCCCTCCCTCCTTTCTTTCTTTCTTTCTCTCTCTCTCTTTCTTTCTTCTTTCTTTCAGAGAGAGAAAGAGAGTGTGAGCGAGGGAGAGGGGCAGAGGGAGAGAGAGAGATCTTAAGCAGGCTGCACACTCAGTGCAGAGCTTGACGTGGGGCTCAGTCCGACATGGCACCGTGACCTGAGCCAAAATCAAGAGTCAGACACACACCTTTATTTCTGAAGAGAATAATGTTTGCTGGTTATAGACTCAGTTGACAGTCACTTTCTTTCAGCACTTTATATCATCTTACTGTCTTCTGGCCATGGTTTCTGATGAGAAATCAGGTGTTAATCCTACAGAGGATCAGAGTATGTGATAATTCATTTCTCTACTGCCTCTTTCAAGATTCCCTCTTTGTCTCATCTTTCCACAGTTTGATAATGATTTGTCCATATGTGGATCTCTTTGAGTTTATCCTATTTTGAGTTTATTGAACATTTTGGATGTGTATATTAATGCCTATTTATTTATTTATTTATTTATTTATTTATTTTTAATGTTTTATTTATTTTTGAGGGAGAGAGAGACAGAGCATGAGCATGAGCAGGGGAGGAGCAGAGAGAGAGGGAGACACAGAATCCGAAGCCGGCTCCAGGCTCCGAACTGTCAGCACAGAGCCCGACGCGGGGCTTGAACTCACGAACCGTGAGATCATGACCTGAGCCGAAGCCGGACGCTCAACCAACTGAGCCACCCAGGCACCCCCTATTAATGCCTTTTTAATCAAATTTTTAATCAAAGTTAGAAAGTTTCAGCCCTTATTTCTTCAAATGTTTTAATTTAATTTAATTTAATTTAATTTAATTTAATTTATTTATTTATTTTTAGTTTATTTACTTTTGAGAGAGAGGGGGGTGGGCAGGGAGAAAGAGAGAGAGGGAGAGAGAGAATCCTAAGCAGCCTCTCAGTGGCAGAGCCCGATGCAGGGCTCAATGTCATGACTATGAGATCATGACCTGAGCTGAAATCAAGAGTCAGACACTTAAGAGGCACCTGAGTGGCTCAGTTGGTTAAGCATCTGACTTCAAATCAGGTTATGATCTCACGGTTCCTGAGTTCAAGCCATGCGTTGGGCTCTGTGCTGACAGCTGACAGTTGGGCTCGAGCCTGGAGTCTGTTTCAGATTCTGTGTCTCCTTCTCTCTCTGTGCCCCTTCCTCACTCTCTCTCTCTCTCTCAAAAATAAACATTAAAAAACATTTTTTTAAAAAGAGTCAGACACTTAACTGAGCCATCCAGGTGCCCCTTCAAATATGTTTTCTGTCCTCTCCTCTCCTCTCTTTCTGGGACTCCAATATGTTGATACACTTGTTGGTAGCCTCCATTTCTTTGTACCTCTGTTCATTTTTTTCCCCCCAAATTTGAACTGGCTTTTTCTTTTACTTGCTATCTGAAGTATTTTGACCCACTCTGCTCATTTTTGATTACTTTTTCTTTCTTTTCCTCAGACTGGACAATATTAATTGACCTATCTTCAAGTTCACTTACTCTTCTGCCTGCTCAAATCTGATGTTGATCCTCTTCAGTGAATTTTTCATTTCAGATAATTACATTTTTACACTTGACCTCAGCCAAAAGGCCAAGAAGCGATCAGATAATTATATTTGTCACTTCAATAATTTCTATTTGGGTTGTTTATGAAATATATTTCTATTGCTTTATTGATATTCTCTATTTGATGAGACATTATTCTCATACTTTCCTTTAGTTCTTTGGACATAGTTTTCTTTAGTTCTTTAAATATATTTAAAATAACTAATTTAAAGGGCACCTAGGTGGCTCAGATCAAACCCTGCATGGGGCTGGCTGCTGTTGACACAGAGCCCACTTCCGATCCTCTGTCTCCTTCTCTCTCTGCCCATCCCCTGCTCATGCTTTCTCTCTCAAAAATAAATAAAACATTACAAAAATAATTTAAAATCATTGTCTCATAAGTCTAATATCTGGGCTTCCTCAGTGACTGTTTCTATTGATTGCTTTTTATCCTGTGTATGGGCCATACTTCCTTGTTTCCTTGCATACATCACAATTTTTTGTGATTTTAAATAATATGTTGTGGCAACACTGGAAATCAGATTCTCTCCATTCTCCAAGATTCGTTGCTATTGCTGTTTGTTGTTGCTGCTGCTATTTATTAGTTTAATGGTTTCTGGAATAATTCTGTGAAGTCTGCCTTCTTTGTCATGTATGGTCACTGGCAAGTCCTACTCAATTATCTTAGTGGTCTCATAGGGATTAGACAAAATTTTCCTCAAATGGTTGGAACCAATAAATCTCCCAGTTTTTGCCAACAAAAACATTGTATGTGTTGAGGAATGTCTTCAACACTTAGCCTTCGCTTCCTGCTTTTGGAGAGCTTCAAGATTAGCCAGAGGTGAGAGCTTAAGGCCTTCTCGGGTCTTTCCTGATCATGCACATAGCCCTACACATGTTCATGGTCTTCTAGATTCCCAGGAATTTCTTAGTGCTTTTCACCTCCTATGGATATCTCATTCCTCCACCTTTACTTTTAAGCTTTTGGTTGGCTTATTGTTTTCCTCCAACTGCTATCCACCATAAGACAGCCATGATACTGAAACATTGCCTCTGATTGTTTTCAACAAATGCTCCCAGGGGAAAAGGCTGTTCACACTGGGGTATCTCTGAGTTAGGTCAAACAAAAACAGCTCTCCAAGTGGGTCTTCTAGACAATCATCAGACAGGTCAAGGAATGACAATTCTTTGGTAATGGTACTCTGAAGGAGTTCCCAAACCATCTTGTCCCCTCTAGGTGCTGCCGGGCTGCTTGTTTTCACTATGATACAGAGCTGTTGTTTTTTAATACTACTATAGATCTGAGATCCCATTTCCATTTTTGCAAAGGAAAAAAAAGCCATTGGTACATAGACTTTGTAGATTGCTTTGGGTATATGGACATTTTGACAATATTCAGTCTTCCAACCCATGAGCATGGGGGAGGCTTCCATTTATTAGGACATTTTTCTCTCAGAAATGTTTTGTAGTTTGTGGTGTACAAGTCTTTCACCTACTGGGCTAAATTTATTCAGAGGTATTTTATTTTTTTGGATGCTATTGTAAATGGAATTGTTTTATTAATTTTATTTTCAGATTGTTCACTGATGCTGTCAGTTGTGTTTACAACTGACTTTCATGTGTTGGTCTGTACCCTGAAACAATCTAATTATTAGCTTTAGTAGTTTTTATATGAATTTTTTGGGATTTTCTATATGTAGAATCATGTCCTCTTCAAACAGAGATAGTTTTACTTCTTCTTTCCAATTTGGATCACTCTACCTACCATAGCTTTATTGAGGTAAAACTGACAAATAAAATTTTGGATGCCTTTAATTTCTCTTTCTTGCCTAAAGCTCTGGCTAGAACTTTTAGCATAATGTTGAATATCAGTGGTAAAAGTAGGTATCCTTGTCTTGTTCCTGATCTTAGAAAGAGATCTTTCAAGGGTACCTGGGTGGTTCAGTCGGTTAAACATCTGACTTCATCTCAGGTCATGATCTTGCAGTTTGTGGGCTCGAGCCCCAATTCGGGCTCTGTGCTAACAGCTCAGAGCCTGGAACCTGCTTTGGATTCTGTGTCTCCCTCGCTCTCTCTGCCCCTCCCCCACTCATGCTCTGTCTCTCTCCCTCTCAAAAATAAACATTAAATTTTTTTTAATAAATAAACATTAAGAAATTTTTTTAAAAATAATGAGAGACCTTCCAGTCTTTCACCATTGAGTATGATATTTGTTGTGGGGTTTTCATAAATGTTCTTTATCATGTTGAGGAAGTTCCCTTCTAGTCTTTCTTTTTCTGAGTGTTTTTATTATGAAAAAGTGTTGATTTTGCCAAATACTATGAGGGTTTTGTTAAATGTCAATTGAGAAGAACAGGTCCTTTTAACCTCCTTCATTCTATTAAGTAATGTTATTGCATAGATATGGTTGATATTTTTAGGTTGAACCACACTGCACTCTTGGGATAAATCTTGCTTGGTCATAGTGTGTACTTCTTGTAATATGCTGTTGGATTCAGTTTACTAGTATTTAGTTGAGAATTTTTGCATTTATATTCATAATGGATATTGGTCTATAGTCTTTTTAATTTTTTTTTGAATGTTTATTTTTGAGAGAGAGACAGAACATGAACGGGGAAGGGGCAGAGAGAGGGAGACACAGAATCCAGAGTAGGCTCCAGGCTCTGAGCTGTCAGCACAGAGCCCAACTTGGGGTTCGAACTCCCAAACTGTGAGATCATGACCTGAGCTGAAGTTGGACACTTAACCAACTGAGCCACCCAGGCACCCCTATAGTCTTGTTTGTGTGCGTGTGTGTGATGTCTTTATCTTTGCTATCACGGTAATTCTGGCTTCATAGAATGATTAGAAAGTATTTTTTCCTCTTCTATTATCTGGAAGAATTTGAAAAGAACTGGCATTCTCTCTTAAATGTTAGGTAGTATTCACTAATGAAGATATTTAGTCTTGAACTTTTCTTTGTTAAGAGGTTTTTTTCATTGCTGATTCAAGCTCTTTACTTGATATAGATCTTGAGATTTTCTCTTTCTTGAGTCAGTGTAGGTAATTTGTGTTTCTAGGAATTTGTCCATTTCATCCAGGCTATCTAATTTGTTGACACTTGTTCATAGTATTCCTTAAAAATCATTTTTTATTTATGTAAGGTCAGTAATAATGCCTTAACTTTCATCAAATTCATACCTTAATTTTATTGTACATTCTCTTTATAATACCCTGTATTTCTACTTAAATATTCAAGATGATTTTGAATTTTCTATATTTGATTTAATGCTAAGTATGTTTTGTACATCCAGTATCTTTGACAAACAAACATCTATAACAACAGGTATTCTAAAATACTTGTTACAGGGGTGCCTGGCTGGCTCAGTCAGTGGAGCATGTGACTCTTAATCTTGGGGTTGTGAATTCAAGCCCTAAGTCGGGTATGGATATTACTTAAAAATAAAATCTTATTTTAGAATTTTTAAAAAATGTTTGTTTATTTTTGAGAGAGAGAAAGAAAAAGAATGAGCAGGGGGAGGGGCAGAGAGAGAGAGAATCCCAAGCAGGCTTTTGTGCTCTCAGTGCAGAGCCCAACACGGAGCTTGATCCCATGAACTGTGAGATCATGACCTGAACTGAAATCAAGAGTTGACGCTTACACAACCGAGCCACCCAGGATCCCCAAAATTAAATCTTAAAAAAAAAAAGAAATAAAATAAAATATTTGTTACATAAGAATTCACTATAAGCAGAGTGTTTTTCCTTCTCAAATTTAGCTAAAGATTATTAAATAAAATTTAGTCATAATGTATAATATGCCATAAAGTAAAAAATGATCATTTCAAAATATAATTCTTTCAGATATGAAGGGCTAAACATAACTAAACTGTATGATGGACCTTGTGTAAATAAAGTCACTTTCATTCTTCACTTTTAGGAATAAATCAGATATACTGATATGTTGTAGAGAGTTTTAAATGTTTTGTTATAAAAACTTTCAAGCATAAAACTAGATACAACAGTAAATATCATATGCCTATTACATCAATCCAACCAAGTACAAAGTGTTTGCCACATTTCCTTCCTTTATAATTTCTTCTTTCTTTGCTTAGGTATATTAACACATGGCTTGGACATCATGTCATTTCACTCTCAGAAGTGTGGACATTTCCTTACATGCCCATAATTCTGTTATCACGCCTAATTAGTTCCCTGTCATCTTCTAATATGTACTTCATGTTCAAATTTTCCCAGCCATCTCAAAAATAATACCTGCTGGGGAAATAAAAGTATTTTAGCCTAATAACTCAGTAGTAAAGAACATCCAGTCCATCCTTTCTGTTCCCTGTCATGCCCAATTTCTGGGATATTGACAAAAGACATTAATCGGAACATGAAAGGTTATTCTGCGATGAATGGACCACGTCTTGCTTAGCTCTGGTCTAGATATTGTGTCTTTAACCTTAGAGTCATAAGGCCAAAGCAAGAACTCGGCTGATGCCATAGAGATCATTGTAGAATTATGAGGCAAATAAATAAGACTGGAGAGGGGCCCCCGGGTGGCTCAGTCAGTTAAGCGTCCGACTCTTGGTTTCAGTTCAGGTCATGATCTCATGGTTCATGAGTTTGAGCCCTGCATCAGGCTCTGTGCTGATGGCCTAGAGCCTACTTGCAATTCTGTCTCCCTCTCTCTCTGTCCCTCCCCTGCTTGCTATCTATGTCTCTCAAAATAAATAAGAGAGACTCTTTAAAAAAAAGAGAGAAATAAAACTGAAGAAAATCATCTTGGAACAAAATATGAAGAAGGTTGAAGGTAAAACAGGTAAAATGATTACATGCTTTTGTAATAACTCTATGACAATATCTTTTAATATAATTTCAGTGACAAGTTGACAAGGCTCAACTGATGTATATAGACCACCATACATATTACTTGGGGAAGGCCTATAACCTGAAAGTTCTCTAGTTCCACTAGAGAGAAATCATGGTGGCAGGTTTGGGGGCAGCCTGGGTGAGACTAGTCTAGAAATCAACTGGTACACTGTGGAAGGTGTCTTCATGGAGTTACATGCAATTTTCAGAATAAATCAGATATACCTTTAGAAGTATGAGTAGATCTCAAAATACTGCACTGAGAGAAAAAGCAAGAGAAGGAATAATACAAGTAACACCATACCATTATATAAACTAAAAATAACACAAACAATATATATTTTATACAAACACATAAACAAAAAGAGATACACTGAACTCATTAAAATCATTGGCTATAGTGTGGGGAGAAAGAGAGGAAACAAATAAATGAATGAATAGTGGCCCCTCCCCACAGCCCTTTCCCAAAGCACAATGGAAACTGTTTTTGACAGGATCACAAAAAAAAAAAATAACAATATCCTTGACAGGAAGACCAACAATGATCACTGATTGATTGCCAACCATGTACCCTGCACTGTGTCACATGCTTTGCCTATATCTACTCCCCTGTGTTTCTACAACCCCCGCCATGAGGAAGGTATTGCTATTAGCTATGTTTCATAATGAAAAATGGAGAGGTCCACAGAGGGATGTGACTTGCCCAAGGATACACAGCTAGGAACGGGAAGGACTGAGTCCTGAACCTGGCTAGTCAGCCTCCAGACCCTCTTCTTTAACACCACTTTCTATGCTGCCCATGGCACCCCATGTGCCTCTGACTTCGACTCTGCTCCACTCCAACTTCCTCCTCCTCTACCCTCCACCTTTCTGCCCCATGGCTCTCCTGGGGTCCAAAGACACACATAGGCACCTGCATCCTTAGCTCTCCTCATCTCTTCCCACTTCCACTCTGTGCTTTTGTTCTCCAGTGAAATTAGAAGGTCTCTAGTCTGCCTTAATTCGCAGAATAATTGTTTAGCATTCCTCCTATAGGACTATGGGTGTAGTTATTAATGTGGTACTTTTTCTCTTCATTTTCCCAAATTTGATTTCTCTAAGCAGGTATTTCCTTTGCAGGAAAACTCCTGAACTTTACCATGAAGAATTACAGAACTTGCTGAATCACCAGATGATCAAGGGGAACATAATGGCTGCCACTTCAAGTATTACTCCCTGTAGAAGAAAATGCTGGCACTGGAGGAAACCAATGGTTAGAGGATCAAACTCATTGAGATTTTGCTTCTTCGATAAATGATTCTCAGTAGAAAATATGGCTGGCAAACACTTCTCTTGGTTAATAAGGATATGTTAAAAATATCAACTATTCTGTGTTCTCATCCCAAAACTACATGACTTATGCCTCGGGGTCCCTCTGTTCTTGTATAGATTGTGAGCAAATGACCACAGAAATCTAAACAATGGGATAGATACCTCAAGGGCAGCTCTATTTATAACCTGAGGGCTCTCCGGTCATTACCAGCTGAATGTGTCATGTGAGTGATGTGGCTTTCAATACACCAGGATCTGGTTTGAGAAATTAACAACCATAACATAAAAGAGAGACTACTATTCAAAGAATATGTATTGAGTGCTCGCTTCTGCAGCACATAAACTAAAATTGGAACGATGCAGAGGAGATTAGCATGGCCCCTGTGCAAGGATGACACACAAATTCATGAAGTTTTCCATATTTTTTGGAAGCCAATTTGACAATAAATTATATTTTAAAAAATGAATAAATAAATAAAACAAAAAAACAAAGAAAATATATTGAGCACAATACTTGGAGTAATGCCTGGCCACAGTAAGGTTTCTAAATAAATGCTCTACAAGCACTAACTTCTCTATCTCACGATAAACTTAGGAAGTATACCCCCATTTTAATGACAAAGGAACCGAGGCTTAGAGAGTTTCACATAATTCCACAGTGAAGATTCTACTAGAACAAACTGCATAGATCCTTATACAAAACATACAGATAGGGTCCTAGGGAAACACATATATACACACACACATACACAAGACTGAGAAAGGATGAGGAAATACATGCTTATGTTAATATATGTTTATTTCTTATGCTTTAATGTTTTTGCACTTTCCTAAAATTATAAACTGAAGACTAATGATATCACTCAGGACTAAGGACATTTACTCAACATAATCTAGAAGTTACAGTCATTTGCTCCAATTTCTTCTCACTTCTTAGGACACAGCATAACAAGAATAAAAAGAATAGAGTGAGAGTCTTATCAGAAGTTCTTAAATGAACCCCAGGCAGCATGCATTAATAAATTAAAAAGCCTCCCAAACTCAGAAATTCTAATGCAAAACCAGAATTAGGAACCATCTGACTCAATTATCTTCTTGAGGTCCCATGCAACACAGAGATCCTACAATTCTAAAGAGAAAATTATTTATATCTGATGGCACTATTTGCTCAGTGTGGATATGTCTTTTCTTCAGATATGAGAGACTGAAAGTGTCTATAGAAATAAAAGAGGTGGACAGAGATTTAACATGAGGGTGAAATTGTTTAAGGGGGAAAGAGGAGATGAGAAGAAGAGACAAAGTGGAAACCTCCACTGAACTCATGCTGGTGGGTTCAAATCTGCTCCACCATGACCTGCACACATACATAAAATGACATTTGTATGATGATAACACCACAAAGGAAGAGGTAGATGGAGCTATATAGAAGCAATATTGAGCATTAAAATTAAGATGGAATTAACATGAACTAGATTATTATAAGTTAAGATGTTAATTGCAATCCCTAAGGCAATCACTAAGGAACTAACTAAAAAAATATAGTAAAAGAAATGATAAGGGAATGAAAATAGTACACTCAAAAATATTTAACATACAAGAAAAATCAATAATGGAAGAATAGAAGAACAAAAAAGACAAGACAGATAGAAAACAAATAACAAAATGGCACAGGACAATCCTACCTTATCCACAGCTATGTGAACATTAACATCAAAAAGAGATTGGCAGAATGAATAAAAACACAATCCAATTAGATGCTGTCCACAAGAGATACATTTTTAATTTTTTTTTAATGTTTATTTTTGAGAGAGAGAGAGACACACACACACAACAAAGTAGGGGAGGGGCAGAGAGAAAGGGAGACACAGAATTCGAAGCATGCTCCAGGCTCTCAGCTGTCAGCACAGAGCCTAACGCAGGGTTGAACTCATGAACTGTGAGATCGTGACCTGACTCTTAACCGACTGACCCACCCCGGTGCCCCAAGAGATACATTTTGGATTCTAAGACACAAATAGGTTGAAAATAAAGGATGAAAAAAGATGAGCCATGCAAACAGTAACAAAAAGAAACCTGGAGTGGCTATACTACTAGCAAACAAAACAGAATTTAGACAAAAACTGTTACCAGAGACAAAGGATTTAAAAAAAATTTTTTTTTCTTTTTTAATTTGAGAGAGAGCGCTCGTGCAACTGCGAGATGGGTAGAGGGAGAGGGAGAAAGAGAATATTAAGTAGGCTCCATGCCCAGCATAGGGCCAGACGTGGGGCTCAATCTGACAACACTGGGATTGTGACCTGAGCCAAAATCAAGAGTCAGATGCTTAATCGACTGAGGCACTCAGGCGCCCCCCACCCCAGGATATTTTATAATGATCAAAGAATCAAACCATCAAAAGGGCATATAAATATAAAAATTTTTGCAACTAAAAATAGAGCCCCCAAAATTCATGAAGCCAATTAGAGAGAAATAGACAATTCCACAATAATAGCTAGAGATTTTGGGGCACCTGGGTGGCTCAGTCAGTTAGGTGTCCGATTTTGGCTCAGGTCGTGATCTCAGGGCTTGTGAGTTCAAGTCCCGCGTCGGGTTCTGTGCTGAAGGCTCAGAGCCCAGAGCCTGTTTAGGATTCTGTGTCTCCCTCGCTCTCTGCCCCTCCCCCGCTCACACTCTGTCTCTCTCTGTCTCTCAAAAATAAGCATTTAAATAAATAAATAAATAAATAAATAAATTTTAAAGCGCATACCAGCCAATGCAGCAATACTTCCAAGGGTGTAAAACACTGCAAAAATCTTTAAAAAAATAAAAATAATAATAATAGCTGGAGATTTCAACATCCCCTTTTCAATCCTGGATAGAGCAACTAAGCAGAAGATCAAAAGTAAAGTAGAAGACTTGAATAACTATAACTATACAGACATCACAGACCCCACTAGACATCTACAGAACACTTCATACAACAATAGCAGAATTACACATATTTCTCAAGTGCACGTGAAATATTCTCCAGGATAGACTATATCCCGGACCATTAAAAATGTCCAATAAATTTAAAAGGATTGAAATCATACAAAGTATGTTTTCTGATCACAATGGACTAAAATTAGAAATCAATAGAAGGAAATACCTAAGAAATAGCTAACAAAATTATTGGCAAATACCTAACAAACCTATATATACATTTTCCTTCCAAGCCAGTAATCTCACTCCTCTAAGAATCTACCACTCTGAAGAGACACCTCTGTACAAAAATATATATGTGTGAGGTGCCTGGGTGGCTCAGTTGGTTGAGCGTCCAGCTTTGGCTCAGGTCATGATCTCATGGTTTGAGTTTGAGCTCCACGTAGGGCTCTGTGCTGACAGATCAGAGTCTGGAGCTGCTTCGGATTCTGTGTCTCCCT